CCCCTGTCCCCCATCCCCTGTCCCCCGTACCCCTGTCCCCTGTCCCCCGTACCCTTGCCCCCCGCCCCCCGTATCCCTGTCCCCCGTACCCCTGTCTCCCGACCCCGTATCCCTGTTCCCCGTACCCCGCTCCCGTACCCCTGTCCCTCGTCCCCCTGTCCCCGCCCCCCCAACCCCCCTGCCCGGGTCCGGAGACATTCCCTGCCCCCGGCCCTCTTGGCAGAACATCCACCCAGCATGTTCTGTGCTTAGGAAGTCTTTCATTGTCATTGCCATGGTAGAAAACCCCCTGTGATGCGCTCGGTGAAAGGCGTGAGACAGGGCATTTTCAGATAAACCAAACCTAATTTTTGAGACATTCAAAAGACCACACCAGAGTTATAAGGAGAGAATAGAGAGGAGAAAGCTGCCCCTCTAAATGTGTGGGGACTAAAGACAAACAAGTTAGGTAGATGACAGATAGATAGAATTAGTATATCTTTCAAAGTACAGTCACTCATTAAATGTATTTATATGGTATTGTTTTTCAGGGGGCGTCTTGGAAACAAAATGGCTACTCTTAAAAGTTTAGAAACCAAAGGTAAGTTTTGATAACAACAATTAGATGGGAACACTACAGATGGCAGAGCAACTATAACACAGTCACCCCAAGTGGATAACTTAAACAACATAGTTCTGAAGACTAGATGTCTAGCATCAAAATAAATGCCAGTGAGGCTTTGTTCTCTATGAAGGTATTTAAGAAAAGTTCTGGCCCCTCTCCTAGCTTCTGTTTTCTGGCACTCATTGGTGCTTCTTATAGATGCAACACCCTGATCTCGGTCTTTGTGTTATAAGGCATTCTCCTTAGGTGCCAGCCTTCCTCTTTTTTTTTTTGGTCAGTCTGGGGCTTAAACTCTGGGCTTGGGCACTGTCCCTCAGCTCTTCAGCTCAAGGCTAGCACTCTACCACTTGAGCCACAGTGCCACTTCCAGTTTTCTTGTGGTTTATTGGAGATAGGAGTCTCATGGTCTTTCCTGCTTGGGCTGGCTTTGAACTGGGATCCTCAGATCTCAGCCTCCTGAGTAGCTAAGATTACAGGTGTGAGCCACCAGTGCCCAGCCCAGCCTTCCTCTTTTTATGAGAGTGGCCATATTGTTCCTCCTCCCCCCAGCCTTTTAGGTATGATTTTATCCTTAATTAGTTACATTTACAATGAAACTTTTCAAATAAAGTCACATTCTGAGACTAATTAACCAGTAAGTAAAACAATCCAACTCTTAGCCCTAGTTCTGCACAATATAATGTTGACTGTCATTCATAAACAAAAGTAACTTGTAATCCATGGCCTGAGAAAAAGCAGACTTAATACTTGACCTTGTCAGTTGTCAGCCTCAGGGGAGAGCACTATGATTTGGTATGGTGGCAGAACTTCCTCTCAAACATATGTAAAGTTCTTTCATTATGAAGACAGATGTGTGTTTGCTGCTAGGGCTATTCTGAAAGGTATACAGAAGAGATCGTAGAAATTAGAAAATTGAAATTGAACTCTTAGATGCAAGATGAAAAGTTAAGACAATTTAGTAAACGTAGATAAAATTGTAAATAATAAGAGCCGTGATGTTTAAATATTCATAATTAGATAAACTAATCTATTAGTAGTTCTGAAGGATAGTAAAAAAATAGATGAAAAAAGATTCTAGGAGCAAATAAAATCTGGATTAGAAGAGTAGTTATACCACAGGAAGTCTCAAAGCCTTTAGTATACTAATGTCTATTGAGAGGCTCCAAAGGGATTTAGTATACAGAATTACCAACACTTTTTGACCATGGAACTCTATTTAGAGCCTATGGAAAGAGGAATATTCAATAAATGTTGAACCAACTCCTAAGTTCATTTTCTAATTTAATAATAATTTAGTTTAATAAAGTTTAGCTTAATAAAAATGTAAGTTTTCTAATTTAATAATAGTTACATTTTATTAGATGATATTAGCTTCATTTAAAAATTATCAAGTAACATCACTAATTCTGTTATAGCTGAATTTAATTACATTACAGCTAAATTTGTATGTGTTCTAAAAAGTATGCTAGTATATGACTGAATTAGGAAAATTGAATTTGTATAAACTATAAAATAATTTTGTTTTTCTCATTATTTAGGTCTACATTACAAAAATCTTAATAATCATTACTATAGTTTGAATTTTACCAATAATATTTTTCTCTTCCATGTAAGTACATTGATAGTATGCTTGATTTTAAATCATGGACCCCAAAGTACTATTTGTTCTTTATAGAAAATGCTTGCCCACCCACTATTCTAGGATGTTAGAATAGTGATCTTGTTATTCCTTATATTTCATCAGTTCTTGAAGAATAAGAATGTGCCATGATTTCTTGACAAATGATCACAGCTGGAAGTAAAGATGAATGAATAATAGAAAGGTTATTTTGTTGGTTCCCTCAAAGAGTGGAGAAGAATAAGATCAAGGATTAATGTTTTGCTTTACTAAGGCATTGCTCATAGTTACTGACCTGGTACCATTGATTTTTGTCTTCCCACTTGAGAGGAGGTAATTACTCATGAATGTGCCCTGGATTGTGCCCACAACATATGTAATAAAGGTTTCTATGTGTGTCATCGAGCAAAGTAGAATTATGAAAGTTATGATACCTAGTGAGAAACTATAGAGCCCTGGCTCATCTGCTTGTCTATGCAAGTTAGCTAGAATCATAGTTGTGACTGAGAGGGAGCTGTCCTATGATAGACAACATAGGTTTGATATTCAGCACTGCTTTAGTAAGTAGGACACTGTAAGTATAGTTAAGAGTAATTGGGATTTAAAGAAGTTGGTTGAACTTCCTGAATTTTACAGTAAATTTTCTTTGTAAGGATAAATTCTGTTTGGAAAGAGATTTCTGTTAAATACTCTTAACTTTTTTTTATTTTAATGATAGATTTAAGGAGCAAAGATTTATTCTTGAATCTCCATTACTTAAAATTCCAACTCAATATTAGGACTTACCTGGAAATGCAGTTTGTTTTAACTATGATCGAATTTTCATACCAGCTTCTTATTTGACCAACCTAAGTATACCCAAATGGCATGATTTTTGGTGGTGTATTTATTACTGTTTTTATTAATCTAGAGTTAAAAGTTGTTTTTATCTATAAAACGATGATATTAATCTGTAGGTAAATAATTATAATGACACACATCTTTTTAACAAACTAAAACTTACGCTAGATAACATTAAACAAACTTAAAACCAAATTGTAAGCCCATAAGAACAGTTTTAAAATGATGAAGAGAAAACTTGTCTTATGCACTACAGTTGTTTTGAGTGCTGGGATAAAAAGTATTACTACCATGCCAAGCTGCAAGTTTATGTAAGAGAAATAACCCAAAGTTCATAGTAATCTATAATCACCAAAGTGTCACTTAACATTAGTATAGTGGAAAACTATAGAGAGACTAACAACAAAAAAATAATTTAAAATAACGATACATCAACTTGAAGGAATATATATTTATAAAATTAAAATATGAAGCAAAATAAAAATACATTAAACTTACAAAATTTACTATGATTACAGTATATTAAAAACATTGAAAAAATTTGAAGTAATGAGAATATAGGTCAACTTTCATTAGAGCATTGTTATAAACTTTCATTTGATGATAAAATTAAAAAATGAAGCTATTATAATAGGTGCCAGTGGCTCATGCCTCTAATTCTAGTTATGTATGAGGCTAAGTTACAAGGATTGAGGTTCAAAGCCAGCCCAGGCAGGAAAGGCCATGCGATTCTTATCTCCAATAAACTGACTAAATGGTAGAAGAAGTAGAGCTGTGGCCCAAGTAGTAAAGCACTAGCCTTGAGCAAAAGAAGCTCAGGAACAGTATTCAGGCCCTGAGTTCAAGCCCCAAGACTGACTAAAAAAAAAAAAAAAAAAAACTAATAGAAACTAGAACACATCTGACTACGTGTGAAGATGGTCTATTCTCTTCTGTAGTTTTTATATTTGTAATAAAGAACAATTCTCTAAAAGTAGAAACCTACAAATCCAATTCAAGAGGTTATTTTGCTGGATATTTCCTTGGCTGTAGAAGCCTTGCAGGTAACTTTCACGGTTACTTGCTAACATTGCTGTAAGCAAGCTTTCATTTCTATGGGGATTTTGCTAGAGAATTCCATTTCTAGAACCACAATATATGACTCCTCTTTTAATGTAGCTCTGTATATCAAAAATTCTTAAGAAGCTTACTTTTTTGTAGGACCTTATGCTCTTTCCAAACTGAGTTAGTTCTCCTAATTTCATTGTTAAAATGAAACATGATCAATATTTAATTAGATCTAGGATATGGTATTTAGTGATAATT